GGCAAAGGAAACGGAAGAAAATAGGTGTGCATGAACACACTGGTGATGTGCCATGAAAGCCACGCCTGTTGCAAGAGGCACTCCAGGAGCCTCGGGCTCAGGGGAGCAGATGTGATCACTTCTCCAGCAACTGCACGCAGAAGGGAGAACATGCAGTTGGTCTGGCAGGGTTAACTGCACGTGGCTCCAACAGGATGTACACTCCAAAATGGCTGATGCCTGGGGGTGTTTTGACAGAACAAGCTGAAGAGTTTCCAGTCCATCGCTTCTCCAAGCTCAGGGCTAGGACGCTGTGTCTGAAGAACAGTTCTCCCTCTCCTCTTCGCTTGCTCTACAGTAAGGTAAAAAATGTAATTGTGGATGCTTGATGGCCACCTTAATGAACAGCTGTTCAAGCCAGAAGGGTCTGGCACCTTAGGTTATTTTAAGCAACATTTTGGGATATCTCCGATTATTAAGTTTCAGCAAGGTCAACTCACCTTAAGCTAACCAACAACTCATGTCTCATTAAAGGGAAGCTTCCAGAAAGACTAGAGCTGCCATCAGATTGGTTAAATACTCTAATAAAATCCACTATACTCAAACCTTTCTAGAGTAGTTTATAGAGCTGTTTTGATACCTGGGATAAACAGGACACAGAGAAATCCAAGCATTGCCTTGTGCCCACGCTGACATGGTTTTGCAAGAGAGCCTGAAGGATTCAGATACTTCTGGACTGTGTGATATACATGGCCCCTCAGTCTGAAGGGAGCTATGTCTGCTCCACCAGCCACTGGTAATGCTACAGCAACTATGAATGACTTGACAGTTGTTCAGTAAAGGGCACAATTTAGCTAGGACAAAAGCAGACCCTGGGCCACTTTTCTCAGGAAGACGTCATGATGCAAGCCACAGAGCAGTGGAGCTACTCCACACCACGGAGTCTGTCCTCGTCCTTCCAGTTAGCTTCCTTGGGCCTCCTTTCCTCCACTGGAAAAGCAGCTCAGGAGACCCTCAGAAGTGTCCGATAACAGCCCAGCATCTCCTAGCAATAAGGGTATATTGCATGTTTGAGGGGATTCACCCCATAGACTTTCTTCCTCCCACTCTGACATTTGGGTGATGCCTCTGTGAGCAGGGATCACTTCCAGGCTCTGTACGTGGAGTTACAACTGTACAAACCAACGAAACTCAGAGGAGAGGACAAGAGACGCATTTGTGCCACACTGTTGCATAAATGTCAGGGGAAGGAGCTTCACTCCTGAGGTAACAAATGCCAAAGTAAGGTTTTAAAAATGAATTACCAAAAGCAATGTTTCCACTTTCAAATCCAACTGAAACCAAACTGTGCCAAGCCTTGAGGTCTGTATTGAGCCATTGTTCATTCCCATTCACGAAGGAGATGACCACAAGGGTTTTCTGCACACCCAGAGAGGATGAGGTGGGGAAGGCCCTCCATGAGCCAGCCCCATTTCTTTTGGAATCTGGGAACATCCAACTGCCTCTTCTCAACCCTGAATGCGCACCAGACCACATCTCCAGAGCAGCTCAGCCCCTTGTAGACATCTCTTTCTGTTTAGAGACTTAATAACAATAACAGCAGGTGTTACCACCTTTTGCTGTGTTTCCTCTAAAAAGACATCCAAGTTCCCTTGGGCAACATGAAAATTCACTCCCTTCCTCACACGCTCTGACACTCCACAGACAGCTGTGTTGGGGCTGCTGCAACGTGGCCTCAGGAGTTTAGAAGAAATCTCCGTGATTTCAGACTGCAACACAGCCTGTTTCAGAAGGTGGTATTGACAGCCTTCATCCCGGTGCTGCAGAGATTGATGCACGTATCTACGCTGGGACTGAAGCACAGCGTTCCTGGCCTCATGGGGACAAGAGCGGGCTAAATCCAGACGGCATATGCTAGATGCAGGTAGGCAGGTTGGCTCAAGCCAGGAAGCAGCCTGTCCATGTTCACATAACTCGGAGTAAGAGCCCTGCCCCAATGCTGCTAACAAGTTTTGGGGTTTCTTAACTCACATTCAGTGTCATACAAACCCACATGTGTCCTAGACCTCAAGTAGCTGTCTCTGAACTTGTTCTGAGCCTGTTGGGCACCTCCACATCAGAAATGTATACCCCTTCCCTATCTGGCCAAAAGCAGCATATGGTCTGAGAAGGTCTGTTCTTCGGGCTTTGCTTACAACAAAGCTGAGCTAAAGCACAGAAAACAAACATGAATGGCTCGAAGTCACAAAGAAAGGGTGGAGCAAAACACAAGGCAGGTCTCCTTCATCCCAGGATAGTCCCTAAACATCTGCCTTTTTTCCACTAATGAGCAGAACCATCACTCAGTGAAATCTTTAGCAAGGAAGCGTGTTTCTACGTAGGTCTAAGAGGGATCAGTTATACTGGTGACCTGTGAGAGAATACGTTGTCTTTATTGATACATCTGCAAGGACACAAACATCAGGGGAGGAAGACAGGTCACTGAAATGCCCATGCCAAAAGAGATTTGTTTTTGAAATAGGCTGGAGGTGGGACCATGTCCAGCTGGAAAACTGACTGAACCCGACCTCTCAATGCAACGTTGTGGCCAAAAGGGCTACCTCAGTACTGGATATGAACGCAGTTGAAGACTGAGCTATCCTTATCTCTGCATTTGGGATGACTGTTAGCACTACTGAACTGCCGTGTTCAGTTTTGAAACAAACAGTTCAAGAAGGATATTGAACTACTGGAAGAGACTTCAAAGACAGTAACATGAAGGATGACTTCTAATGGAAGACCTTGGCCCCACCCTACTTCCATAGATGAGAGGGGATCAGGCCCAGCACTATTTATTTTCTACCTGTCAGGGTTTTCTTCCTAAGGAAACTCAGATGCTCAGACAGGGAATTGCAGTGCATTTCGGTGGGAACCAAAAAGATCTGCAGGGCACAGCATCCCTAGACTGAGTCACAGCTGCCTAGGCATTGTGGAAACACACCTACAGTGTGCTCCATGGGACACCTCCGCTCCTCCAGGGTAGATTCGGCCAAAACTTCTTATCAAAAAGAACTTAAGGGGTGACTTGACCATGACTACCTGAGAGGAAGACACACACTTAGCAACAGGGGACCGTAATTCAAGCTGGGCAAGCAGTCACAAATAAATTTTGTATAGTAGCAGTAAGGAACCACAGGTGAGCTTCCCCAGGACCTGACAGGGGGAACTAGAAATATGCCCAACTCAAACAGAATTAATTCAGAGAAGTCCCAAAGTCTGTTTAATCTTTGGTAGGTCACCTGAGCACAGTGATGCCTTTATGAATCTTCCTACTCCTAGAAGCATTTTAAAGAAATTATTAACTCATGTGATTGTAAAGTGATCCATATTTTCATAGACTTTGTTATACAGGTAAGAAAAGTAGGAAGGCAGCCCTTCCTCTACTCCATCTGACCTGCTCAGTGAAGAAACTCAAGCTGAGTCCCTTGAACCTGTATTTTGAATTCAGGAAAGCTGTCCCTGAAAAAAGAGACCCAAGAGCAGGGGGTCCACCACGAGTAAGAAGCTGACACAGTACAACTGATGAACCTAAGGAAACAGTTGTCTGAGAGTCAACCTTGATAACCTGCACTTGTGCTCCTTAAAAATGGAAAGCTGGGGCACACCTGACCAGCTGAGCCAAGCAAATCAGCGGTGCCTTGATGTCAGGGTGCCACAACAGGGCCACATAGGAACCAGACACAGGGTGCAGGGCCCTGTAGGGCACTTCGGGTGAAGTCAGGTCCACCTACAGTAACTTGGGAATCCCTGAGCTTGATGCAGTACCAGGCTGTCGAGATGGTCGTTAGGCTGCAATCAACAGTGGTCAGCCAAGGAGTTAGAAATGGCTCCCTTACACCAAAACATCCAATTCTCTTCTTTAAAGACAGTTGTGAGCCACAAATCTGCACTTTTCCAAGTCATAACCCACCATCTCCTTACAGCTGTTTTGGGATCTCCTCGATCACCATTAAGCTATTGGAATTACCCCTATATGCTCTGTTCCTCACCCCCTGAGACATATTCTTCTGACTTTTTAGTAGTGCTTAGGTAGTAACAAGACCTTAAAAAAAGAATAATCTTGAGAAGAGATCTTTGCTTCAAGTGGTGTGCTCAAGTGTTGGAGATTTTTTTTGTATTTTAAGGGTCAGAGTGCCCTCTTCTGTCCCATCCGTGTCTGATTATTAACTCACTTCTCTGTTAGATCAGCAGATTATCAAGAAATACTGTGACTTGTCTTCTGCACACCCTACCATCTTCTAAACAACAGTTAAGAAACCAAACAGCTGATCACAAACTAGAAAATAACTCATGTTAATGTGGGGGCTCAGGCAAGCTACAAAGTCAGCTGCCACCAATAAAAGGGGCTGGGGAACATCGCAGGCAACAGGATTGATCTAATTATTGATGAGGTCAGGCGCATTTTGAAGTGAATCTCTGTGAAGTTTAAACAGTGGGGTGTTACTTAATAGATCCATGCTCTGCATTTAAACTTTACCTCTCTCCTGCCTGTGTAGCCACTAATTGAATCCAGACTGTTACTGATGCCTAAGGAAACCTGACTGAAACAAACATATTAAAAGTAGCTCAATAATACCAATGTACAGAATAATTTCTAAACTAACCATGGTGAAATCACTGGGACTGCAGGTTATCTGAATTATGGACAGAGCTAACAACGGCCCAGAAAAACTCATTAGCAGAGGCTTTCTAGCATGAAAACACACAGGAGCGTGTTTCTGGAAACCACGTAACCGCTTTTGTGCAGCAAAGCCAGCATTAATAAACCGTGGTGGATCCTCCCGACGTCCCAAGGAGCTATACGAGTGTGCCTGCGCTGTATTCCCACCACTGCTGTGCCCAGTGACACACTGAAAGCTCTAGCTTTGCAAGCCAACGCCGCAGCACCTGCCCCTCTCCCCTTCCATGTCTGCTTTAGGGCCGGGGGTGCTCTCTGCTCCTCCTTTTGGGTCCTTCTCCCCCACCTGAAATCTGCTTGAGGGATGGGAGTGAAAGGAGCCACTTTGTTTCCTCCCGCCCTTGAAGGGACCCCTGGCTCCAGCACCTACCGACTACCCTCGCTGCCGCCCGCCACCCTGTGA